AGGGCTACAAAGCGGTTTCACAGAAGCTTTCGGAAAATCCGACCACAACACCATTTTCCTCATCCCTCAGTATAAACAAAGCATACGTAGGGATGAGGCAGTCACGAGGGAGGTGAAAGGCTGGTCTGCCCAATCAGAAGCTACGCTACAGGACGCGCTCGAGGACGTAGACTGGGACATGCTCCGGTCATCTCAACGAGTTCACGGAAGTAGCAGTTAGCTTCGTAAGCATGCTAGCGGAGGAGATCATCCCTACAGTGAGAGTCAAGTTGTTCCCGAACCAGAAACCGTGGGTGGACAGATCGAGCCGCGCTGCAGTGAACGCCAGGACCGCCACGTACAACGCGGGTCTCGCCACCGCGCGATATGAGCGCCTACAAAGCGGCTTCATACGGCGTTCGGCGCGTGGTGAGGGATGCCAAACGCCGGTATCGGGAACGCGTGGTGTCTCACTTCCACCAAGGTAACACACGGAGCATGTGGCATGGACTGCGCACCATCACAGATTACAAAGCCAAGGTCACCGCGCCGATTAGCGCTGATTCTGCATTCACCAACGAGCTGAACGAGTTCTACGCCCGTTTCGAGGTTAGCCAGGCCGCTAGTGCTAACTACAGCCTGACAACGGAGGACGGTGACGTCATCAGCGAGGACCGGGTGATCAGCTTCGCGGAGCACGATGTCCGAGCGGTGCTGAAGAGAGTGAACACCAGGAAAACGGCGGGACCAGACGGCATCACCGATCGTCTGCTGCGTTGCTGTGCTGACCAGCTAGCAGGTGTGTTCACCTCCATCTTCAACGAGTCCCTGGCAAAGTCCGTGGTCCCCACGTGCTTCAAAAGATCCACCATCATCCCCGTGCCCAAGAACAACAAGCCCTCATGCCTGAACGACTACCGGCCAGTTGCACTGACTTCGTTGGTAATGAAGGTGTTCGAGAGGCTGTTGAAGAACATCATCTCCTCCTCCATCCCAAGTACCACAGACCCGCTCCAGTTTGCCTACCGACCCAGCAGATCCACAGAGGATGCCATCTCCCACATCCTGCACACCACTCTCAGCCACTTGGACAAGAAACAAGGCAACTATGTCAGATTGCTGTTTGTAGACTACAGTTCAGCGTTCAACACAATAATGCCCAGTAGACTGTTCACAAAGCTGAGGGATCTAGGACTCAGCAACCGTTTGTGTGCATGGGTGTTGGACTTTCTCACTGGCAGATCTCAGGTGGTGAGGGTGGGTAGGTGTGTCTCCGACAGCGTCTCCACCAATACTGGGGCGCCACAGGGGTGCGTACTCTCACCACTGCTGTACTCCCTCTACACTTCTGACTGTGTGGCCACTCATGGTTCGAACACCATTGTGAAGTTTGCCGATGACACAGTGGTGTTGGGCCTCATCTCCAACAACGATGAGGAGGACTACATGGACGAAGTGAAGAACCTGACATCGTGGTGTCAGGACAACCACCTCCAGCTGAACGTTTGCAAGACAAAGGAGCTGGTAGTGGACTTCAGAAGGAGTCAGCAGCGAGTCTACAAACCCCTCAACATCAACGGAGCTCCAGTGGAGAGGGT